CCCCCCAGTTTAATTCATAGTAGTGGGATGCAAAAGCTCCCCAGAGAGTGATGGATGGTGGGGAAATGAAGATGAAGGAGCTTTATGGAGCCCATCAATCTCAGGCCAGGCTGCTGTGCTCAAAGGCCCAGCCTGTTGTTGCTCAGAGGTTACTCAGAGGAGCAAAGGGATCAGGTTTCGGGAAGCTCAGGGCACTGGGAGGGCTGGGAACTCCTGGCTCAGCCCTGGCCACAGGAGCCAGCACCCGTGGAGCAGGGTGGGGAGCACTGGCCTTGCCCTGGCTGGAGGTGTTGATGCTGCTGAGGTGTTTTGGCACTTCCCTTCCTCTTGGGACACCAGGATATGCAAGCTGGGTGGGAATAAAGGGGTGAACTCTTCCCTGTGAGCTGGTGGAGGGTGAAGGATCTCATCAGGTGCTTCTCCCCAGGTGAAATGTCCACCTGCCTTGTTCACAGGCAAGGTCTCTGCTCCAGCACAGCCCCAGGGCTGTGAGACCCTCTGAGGTCCAGCTTGGGATGTCCCCATGTCACATCGTTCCTCACCTGGCCTGGTGGTGCCCAGCAGGAGGATCTGAAACACCTTCTGGTTTCTCCAGACACTTGTTTGTGGGGTTTTTATGGAGGATGATGAGCAAAATGTTGCCACCCAGCTCGATGGACCACAAGAGGGGACTTTTCCCCTGGAGTGGGAGAGGAGCAGGTGAAGATGAATGAGCTGGAGGGGTTGAAGATGAGCTGCTGCTGGGACAGTGTTGACCCACCTTGGTCCCATAGCTGGGCAGGGATGGCCAGCAAAGCCCTAGGGCCTGGCTGGAGGGGACACTCTGAGCTGGAAAGGGAGCTTGTCAGCTTCATCTCTTGGTGTTGCTGCCCAGCCCCATGGTGGCTTTTGGGGCTGGTCCTTCTTCTGAGCACTGCTAGGCAGGAGAAGTAGCATCCCCAGCAGAGCATTGCCCCACTCTGGGGCTACCATGGCTCAATTTACCTGCTTAAAACCCACCCTCAGCTTCTCTGGGGGTTTTTGGTGACCCCATGAGAAGGGAAAAGGGGCTTCCAGACCTTTTTCTGGAGTGCTGCATTCCTGGGAGGTGAGGTCAGAGCTGCTTCCCAGGGCAGGGGAAACCCAGGGATGGCTGGAGAGTGGATGCCTTGAGGCTGGGACTGGTGCTGGGTGGGCTGAGGGTGGGCTCTGGGGTCTGTCTGTGTGGGAGGCTGATGGGATGGTCCATGGGCTCTGCTGGAGGAGGAGCAAGATGCTGGTGGCAACCTGATGTGCTCCAAAGGGGCAGGGGAGCTGCTACCTGCCTGGGTTTTGGTCCTCTGGAAAGTGAGGTGAAGGTGGCAGGTCTCATGTCCTGACCTAGTCCTTGGAGGGGACCCAAAACCCCCTCTGGGGATGGGCCATGGGGCAGAGGAGCATCAGGCCACTGAGAAGACATGGCCATGGTGGCAAGTGCCATTTGTCTGAGCATCAAGCTAAGAAGGAGCATCCCAGGAGTTGGGCCACCAGCTCCTCTCCTTCCTGCTGCCCCTTGTCCCCTGCAGGGACAAGG